TTACAATGCATTATTCTTTTCTATCTCATTGCAATGAGATAAGAAAATGGAACTCGGTGTAACACGATAGGTATTAATGCGTTACAACGAGTTAGACAATATCCAAAACGAAAATACATGGTTTTCTTGTAAAGGACACATTTCGATATAATTCTGAGACTGCGAATCGATCTCTCTCGAAAAGTTGGTCCGGGAAAAATTACTTCAACTATACCAGACATATACGTTACTGAGTTGAGACTTAGGACATAAACTCCCACAGCACACTTATTACCGCTGTCACGTATAGCGTTACAGCACCTGAACAGTTAATCCATTGTAATGCCATAAATTTATAACGTTATAATGTGTTAGATGTTATAGCGGTATAATACATTAACCTGTAAGTTACAGGTAACGCGTTACAGATTAATGCGTTATAATGCGATAGGAGTTTAGTAACGCCTTATAACGGTATACAAAATTATTAACGCGCTAGTCGAATTTATAGCGTAGTTACATTATAAAATATGAGAAAGTCGCATTATAACACTATAATTTCAATTTTTGGACAGTTTCTTCCACGTAATGCGTTACAATGCATTAAAGATATGTTTTCCAAATTTACCGCGTTATAACACAATAGAAAAGCTAACACATTACAGAGCATTACGATATGCCTAACGCATTATAATGCAATAAATAGGATAAAAAGATCCTGTGGGTAATGATAGAATTTGAAGTTAAGAAAATCTTAATATATTCGTTATAGCGAAAGTTCTACTAAGATTTATTTGGTTTAAACTATATTTATTTAGAACAAAAATAAAATCTGATAATTGCCCTTCTAATTCGCCTACGCATTACATTACACAGTTAGAGAGTTATCGTCCACTATGTTACCCTAACCGTTAAACATAACCATATAAAGTAATAGTGACATAACAAAAGAAGTAAAAGGAGGAAGAAATGTACTAGCAAGGAGAGAAAGACGTACAAATCTTTCGGCCTCAATTACATCATCAATCATCACCCTGTAAAGATCTTTATACAGTTCAAATTCTAAATTTTTCCTTAGTAGCTGATCCAAATCGATGTCTTAGTCACATTTTTTTTAAGTAGCTATACTTTCGCTAAAACATAGGCACATTTCTGCATATCAGGCGGACATGGGTACGAAGTATATTCGGCAACCTCAACAATGAACTTTTTCCGTATTTTCAAACACGCTCTGTCGAATGACTAACTCCTAATTTTTTTCTGGCAAAAAGTGTTTTTTCTCTCCTTTAAGCCTTAGGCAAAAGCAATTTTTTGTCTACAAATGTGTTGTCTGGATGGAATCTATCGATTCTGATCCAGTGATTTTCTCAGGCTCATCGAATCATCTAAGTGGAAACGTCTTCAAAACTACCAATGAAGTTTAACTGAGTTGTAAATTTTGAATTTTAATTACAGCAGAAAATCCGACTCGATTTTGCGCTCTTGTCCAAGCAGAGCTCAGTGACCAAATGGTCACCCTATTTGTGATCAGCATCGAAAATTACCTCTGTCCCACCATGTTAAATGAAATAGTATTATTTGCATAAAGCGCACTACAAAATTTTGATTAAAGATTAACGGATACTGCCTCGGCATAAACCGGAAGCATGTTCGGAAGGAGTGATCGTTGAGATTATGTATCAGTTACAAACAAATCCACTTAGACAACTGAGTGTATGTATTGTCAGCTCTTATGTTTGGATGTGATCGAAATACACGTTTTGTTTTGTTTCAGAATCAACAAGTACAAGAAACCAAAACGCATATTCTCCTTGCTATTACGTTCTATCATTCATTACAAGTATTCGAACAGTATGATCTTCATTCAGTGTATACATTTTTCAAAAGGAAATTAACAGAAAACAAGAAAAATAGTCAGATTCATATGATATTTCGTATAAATTCCAAACTGGGATTGATTTATGCTCAATTGACAACAGCTTTTGATTTGACACAAATCAGCACACAACAGCGTTGTCTATCGTTAGTGGATATTGGTCATCCAAAACTAATTAAATTGAGAGATGTGTCATGGATCATTTCCGAAAATTTGAACGAGAAAAGAAATCACCTGGAGAAACACGTGTTATCATTTTTAGTGAAAGTGTGAAGAAATAACGGAAATTCTAACACAAGAGAAACCGCTGATAAAGCCGATGTCATTTGTTGGACAACAAAGTGGTGGAATTACACAAAAACAACAAAAAAAGATCGTCAGTGATTCATACTAGGTGGCATAATTAATTGAAAACACTTTCTTGTCATGATCTAACCACATGTTCGGTTACAATACGTTGGTAGCAACGTGTATCGATGAAGAAGGTTTGGACATTGGTGACGTTGACCTGATTGTTTGTTTCAATGCACTGAAAAGTCTAATTCGTCTTTTTCGACGTATGGGCAGAACGGGATGTAAACGTCAAGGTCGAATTGTTTTGTTGATGACCGAAGGCAAACAAGAACGCACATTACGTGACGGTGAACTGAAACAACGACGGATATGCAAGACCCTCACACAATTATCGATGGGCAAAGAACATTGAAATTATATTCGAAAAACCCACGGACTATCTACCCCATCAAATATTCATCCGACATGTCAGGAAATGAATATCAAATTTGATTAATCAGTAGATAAACAACAAATGACGAGAACGAAAAGAAAGAACAATAATGATGATGAAAAAGAGTTTGATTTTGATCTAATGATCAGTAAAAGCAAACAGCAAGATTAGGCGTTGGATTGAAATCGCATTTTATATGATGAAGTATGCGACTGTATATTTCTAGAATCGTTGATGCGTCTATTTCATAAAGAAAAGCTATTATCAGGTCAAGAGTGCTCTTACCGAATGAGAAATTTCGATATGAAAAAGAGGTAAACGATGGTAAACGCAAAGATAAAACCGCACTTCTGTTGTTTTTTTTTAAACTTTATTTATTTATTGATGAAACAAATAGTTATAACTAAGACAGGTCAAAAGAGAGCAAAGCCCCATTATTATCGTCCTGCCTAGCCA